CGACCAGAAACCCTTCACTGGGGCCATTATAAGATTAGGGGGGCGTTCTTCAGAACTCCGGAGAAAGCAGAAACTCCGGGAAAATGAATATGCTCATGCACTCGGAAGTCTCACCCGATTTCAACAAGAAGGAGATGTGTTATAGAGCGTTCATAGTTGGCGATCGTACGTGCGATTAGGCGATTCATGCAGGAGATATCCCTCATTTTGGCTGGTCTATGAAGGTTCAATTCATTCGAGACAGGGAGAGCGAACAATACGCACATATCGCGAGCTTTTTCGGTCCCATGAGATGAACTTTTCCTTCTGCTTCTGGTCCTACAAGTGGGACACGAGCTCACTTTCTAGCAGCTCTAAGTGGTTGTAGCGCCAAGACGATCCTCATGCAGTAGCAGAAGTTTTGAGAGACGACAGGTTTACTAGGCATAGAAAGAAAGGCAGTCTGCTCACCCTTTCAGCACTGGTTATATAGTTCGTGGACAGTAATCTGTCTGACGACTCGGGCGAAAATATCGCGTGATGTCGAAATGAACGTTCCTCACTAGGCGGATGCTTTTATATGGCAACGTGGCGGATGAGATAAGGGTTCGGCTACTCACGGGTCAATAATAAAATTGAGGAAATATAGCTGATAGAAGCTGTTCTCATTCGGTAGGTAATCACGACGCTCATGTGTTTAGGAAGGGGCACTCAAAACGGTGATTTGAAAATCAGTGGCAGGCTACACAAGGGCTGAACAGAGGGACGGAGAGAGACGACAGAGAACAAGGGTTGCTCCCCCTCGAGAATCCCCTTCCTAAGACTTAGTTCCAAGTGATGTGACATGCTCTCTTCAATGTTCCCCCCCCCCCAACGATAAGAGTGCGGTGACAAATAAATATGCTTATTGTGAAGGCCGTTCCGACCGTTCTATTGGCAACTTTTAGCTTCGGTTGGATCTACCAACCCATGTCATTAGTTCCGATTTGTAGCCGCGCAACTTTGTCGCATCACCCGCAAGACAGATGAAAACCGGAAACAATGCAGATTCGCGTCAATCGTCTATGGTTAACGGCTTACTCTTATCAGCTCTTCTTCACTACAGAAATAACTACTCACCTACGATTATCTATGCACATCCTTTACAGCCATTTTACTGGGCGACAATTCTGAAAAGAAACAGGTTCTGGAGGAATGGCCTGACGACGAAGGTATTAGAAAGCGTAGGGCTGAGGGTGACACAGGCAGAGGAGAAGCTTTCAGGGGGTGGACCTGCTAATTTCTGAGCCCGGAAGAGATGTACCACAGCCGCTCCCGACCGCAGTAATATCACTTGCTCATCACCCGTTCACGCTATAGCTGGATATTTTCCACTTGTCCAATCGTGGAAAGCGCCTTTGAGCGAGCATTCAACGATAGCAGGATGTCGCTCTCGGGTCAAATATGAGACCATGGGTGCTTCTGGACCCGATAATGAAGTAAGAAGCCGAAGAGCTATCAAAGACTTCCTAGAGGCTTGAGCCCCTTTGCAGCTGGTTCACGGCGTTGCATAGCCTTGCGGTTAAAATGAATTTCTGAAAAAGGAATGTTATGCCGAAGAAAAGCCTTTATGGTGGACAATCCCCTAGTTTTCGGTCAAGACGGCCTAGCGGGGTCCTTGTTGATGTATAGTGGAAGCATTTGCACGCTTTGCGTGCAGAAGCATGTCATTGTTATGTTCTCCGTTTAGGGAAAAAAAATTTCGTGTGTTTTCATCTCTCACGTCCCCCCCCCCCAGCGCGACGCGGTCACCGCCTCTGGGAAATTAAATTGCAATTTACTGTGCAAATATGTCGACCAGTTCTTATTGCCGTTCTTTTGCGGCAAAATATGCCACCTTGGTATATTCTTTGATTA